CAAGCCCCACACGAGCCAGGCCCCTGCCCCGCCCCGGTGGCCTTACCACTGAACTGGTCCCAGAGGTGCACTGTCCCGTCACAGCTCACCACCTCCTGCAGCGCGTCCAGCTGGCCCACGTAGAACACGGACTTCCTGTGCTCGGTGTAGGTGAGCCGCGGCTCGCTGTCCCACGTGCCGTCGCCCTGGTTGTAGAGGGGCCACAGCCTCACCGTCTTGTCCTTGCTGCCCGACAGGAAGAAGTCCTCCCCGGTGAGGGGGGCCAGGCACTTGGCCGTGCCCGTGTGCCCCAGGTAGCTCTGCAGCCGGATCTGGTGGAAGGTGAAGTGCGGGTCCTGCTGGTTAAGGCCGATCTCGTACTGCCAGTAGGCCAGCCAGTTCCCCGAGAGGGACCGGCCGCTCCGGGCCAGCTCCTGCTTCAGAGCGCTGTCCTTGGGGCCGTGCTCCCCGCCAGAGCAGGAGGGGGCGGGGCCTTTCTGGGAGTGGGTGGAGCTCGGCCGGCCCCAGCCGTCGCCCAGGAGGCCGCCGGCGCCGCCCCCGGCGTCTGCGTCCCGCGTGAGCTGGATCCGGTTACCCACCAGCACGCTGCCGAAGGTCCCCGACTCGGGGATGGGGTCTCCGTTAAAGGAGGGCGAGGGAGCGGGGAAGGGGCTCGGACCCGTGCCGTTGCCGTAACCAGCAGGGAAGCCCACGGACGAGGCGAGTGGCTCCCCTCTCTGGCTGGTCGCCGGCTTGCCACCGTCGGGGCTGATGCCCTCCTGGTAGGACACAGCGAGCTGGCACACCAACTTGTAGTTCGGCAGCACCTTCCTCATCGCCGTGTCTCCTGGGCAACAACGACAACAGGCCTTCACACACCGTGCACGTAACCAGCAGGGAAACCATCTGTACTTCAGATTCTCAACCCGAGCAGAAAATGGAGAGAAAGCTGCCAGTAGCGAATATCCATCACCGAACACCACGGCAAACCAAGCATTTGTCACCCCCACAAATCAAATACAAAATATGTTGCATTCCCTGTTAAGTATAGCATTTGTGTTTTACAATAATTACACGCAGGTGTTGACTGCTGAAGCCGACAAAAAATTACTTTGCAACTCTTCTTCTAAAAACAGAAAGCCTTTGTTATTAACACAGTTGGTTCCGAAAGGGAGTTGATTATACGGGACTGAGACTGTGCAGAATGAAAGGCATCGTACACAGCTGGCTACAACAGAGGTGAGCAATCCTGGTCCTGAAGGGCCAGTGACTCCATAGTTTCCAACTCGGCTCATTATTGGCTGAACTGGACCAATTTAACATCTGCTCCAAGCTCTTCTGGTGCTGCTGCTTTCTCCAGGACTGGGACTGCCCACTCCTGAGCTAAGTCCTTTATCGTGAGGTCATCGAAAGGAAACATCTGAGTGAATCAGTTCGCCTAAGTCAAAGTGCTCCGCGTCTTACCGATCAGGCAGGAGAAGGGGATGTAGGACGCGTAGGCCATTTCAGGGTTAAACACAGCCTGCAGCTCCTCCAACACAGACAGCTCGCATGTGACCTCTGACCCATCCGGGGTGCAGAGCTCCAGCACGGTGGTATCGCCAACTTCCTTCCGAGGGGCTGTGTCTACCTGTCCGTCCAACAAGATCAGAATCGAGTTATCAACACACAACGCAGAAGGCTGCTTACATACTCGTAATCTGGGACCTTAATCTACTTTCCAAATTACTCATTGTCTGCCACCAACCCCCAGTTTTCCCAAGTCGTTTTTCGGAAGAAGCCAGAGCTACTCGTGCTTCCCCAGGATGAAGACCGAGAAACGCTATAGCTGAAGTTTGGAAAATGTGGATTCCAGAAGTGTCTTCCAATGGAAAGTTAACTTTCAGCACTGGGTCTGCAGGGCTGGGTCTCCATGCTTTGGTTGGAGTTGGGATTGTGTGCTGGGTCGGACAGCGCCGGGCTGTACCTGGGTCTGCAGCACCTGCAGGAGCGAGAAGACCTGGAAGAACTTGCGCAGGGTGTCGGCCATGTGCTGCTGCACCATCTCCCGCCCGATGCGCAGACAGATCAGAGCCATGAGGCTGATGGTCTTGAGACAGAGCGCCGAGCGCGTCTGCACCCCGCTGGGGAACCTGGGGGCAAAGACACACAGGCTCACACCCTGATCTTAAAAGGATTCTTGGTCAGCCGACCCTTTCCGACAAAGCCAACCCAGCGGAGTTCTTCAGAACCCACAGTGCAACACGAACCACGTCTGGACATTAAAGAACATTTAAACCCGAGAACAGGAGGCACTTCTTTCCAAAAAGAGCTGCAGATGTCTGGGATGAGCTGTCTAGCCATACTGTTGAAGCAGATGACCCTGAGTTCTTGGAAGAAGAGCTAGACGAGATCCTGGGATCAATCTATCACTCATGACCAGGTGGCAGAATGGCCACTCGCTCGAAATCTTTATGTGTGTATTACATGATTTATTTTGGGGTTTTCTTTACATTAAACCTTGCGAAAAACAAATAACGGTCTAGATGACCACTAAAGTTATTTCAACAGAAAGCTAAATGCCAGCAGGAAACCACTGTGCAACAGCTCTGCATCATTAGAAAATAAAGACACTAGAATTGGAAACGATGCTAAGCTAGTTCATGTTGTATGAGAAGACCAGCTGGTGGAGAGCTTTCAAATAGTGAATCAGAGGCCCTGATTCCAAACGTAAAATCTATCGATGTATACTACCTTGCCAGGCTGAAAATAATCTAATGAAGAACAAAGCAGCTCAAAACAATAGCAGGCACATCCCTGCACAAATGAAGGGGAGCTTGTGGGGCGGTCAGTTACCCCATCCTGGGGGAGGTCAGCAGGTCCAGCAGGGGCAGCAGGACGTCCTGGTTCAGCTTCATCAGCATGTCCATCAGCGTGGTGTCGGACAGGTACACGACGATCTTCTTGGTCAGCACCACTGCGCCCAGCAGCCCTGCCTCCTTGCGGGTGTTCAGGCGGCACGAGGAGGGTGGAGACACCTGCAGGGACCGGGGTTCGAAACGCAGTCAGCAACAGCGCCGTGCCCTGGCCTGGCACCCTGCTGGCTCTTCTTGTGCCTGACTGAACACGAACCAGAGCCAGAATTCTCTCGCCTCTTACCCGCGCAAGCTGCTGGATTTCAATCTAAAAAATTTACTTTTGAAAAACTTAGGCTTTCCTACAGAATTAAGAGCTAAAATCAATCATCCTGAAGCTCATCTAATAACAGAACATGGCCACTCCAATCCGCCTCACCTCAGGACTTCAGTCTCTGCTGTCGCTGCTGTAATAATAATCTTACATTTATATAGCGCTTTTCTTGACACTCCACTCAAAGCACTTTACAGGTAACAGGAACTCCACCACTGTCCATGTGCAGCTCCCTCCTGATAATGCAACGGTGCACCAGTACTCTCCCCCACACACCAGCTCTCAGTGGGGAGGAGAGCAGAGTGATGAAGCCAGTTCAGAGATGGAGATTATTAGGAGGCCATGATTGGTAAAGGCCAGGGGGAATTTTGGCCAGGACAGGTTAACACCACTACTCTACACAAGAAATGCCCTGGGATTTTTAATGACCACAGAGAATCAGGACCTTGGTTTCAATTCTCATCTAAAGGACAGTAGAGTATCCCTATCACTATACTGGGACATTAGGACCCAGGATGAGTGCCCCCTACTGGTCTCGCTAACACCTTTTCACTGCTGCACTGATCACAGGAATCGTGAATTAAAGAGCTGAGAAGCTGAGCTGCAGAGACACTTTTGGCTGGAAGGGCTGCAGTGACAGGCACACAGCAGAGCGCACACACATACCAGGTAGCCCACGTAGGGCAGGTACTGGTAGGTGAGCACGGGCTCCCCGTACAGGTGAGCAATGTACATGAGGCAGCCCAGGACAGGCCCGGCCATCTGGTCCCCGACGACCGGCTGCTTCTCGTACACGTTGACCACGTTGTCCAGGCTGCCGTCCTCCACCACTGACTCTACGAACTGGTGCTTGTCGGGACCTGGGGGGGGCGGGAGATCCCACTTGAAAATCCTGCTCTTCCGTGCGGCAAGACCCCCCCATCTAACTCTACAACATGTCGTTCGTAAAATCTGCTGCGCTGGTGCAAACGTGCAGGGTGAGCACGAGAACAATACGTCATGCTGATGCCGATGGAGTGAATTTCACGATGAAAGCCTCAGGCTCACAAAACCACCCGGGTGCCCTACAGCTTCGGATGCCCCATCGAAGTCCCGCCGCCTTGTTGCGAACACGCCCCAGTGTCCCCCCGCGTCGGGAAACGCTCGCGCACGACGGATCGGCGGGCCTCTTACCCACGTAGCAGATGGTGAGCAGGCGGAGCAGGTTCCTGGCCAGGTACCGCGACGTCACCGTGGGCCCCAGCTTCGCCGCCAGCCACCGGACCGTCTTGCACAGCGTGTCTGCAGGGCGAGCAGCGTCGCGTCAGCTCAGAGCGGACCGCCCCCAGCGCGACACGGCCAGCGAGGCCGCTGCCCGTGGGAAAGCGTGCAAACCGCCCTGCCTAACCGCTGCTCACTTCATCATTCTCCACTAGACTAAGTGTCACACTAAAGCTGTGCAAATGTCTTCAAAAGAGGGCATGCTACTCTCAAATAAAAGTTCATCTTGGCCTCTAATGGTTCTAAATATGCCCACGATATAATTCGCTAATCACTGATATTTCTACTGCTTCACAATGCAATTGACTACTATACCTCCCCTCACCAGACTCACCCAGCAGGATTTTGTGTTCTTTCTCGTCCGAGTCCTCCGAAAGGTCGTGTTCCTCTTCCTCCTCCTCCTCCTCCTCCACGTCCTCTTCCGGGCCCTTCTCCTCTCCCAGCTCCGTCCCTTCCCCGTTCCCTCCCTCCCCAGCCCCCGCTGCCGCCCCCGCACGCTCGGAAAGAGCGAGCTCGGGGCAGGGGCCGCCCTCCTCCTCCTCCAGCTCTCTCAGGTCCTCCTCTCCCTCGCTGGCCTGCTTCAGGTCCTGGCTGCTGTCCGCCGACTTCAGGCTGGCCCTGTCCTTCCCCGAGTCCCCGTCCCCGAGCGACACCTCGCTGGCGCTGCTCTTGTCGCTCAGCTTGCCCGTGCTGAGCGACTCCTGGTCGTCCCTGCCTGCGCTCTGGCCCGGCTGCTTCCCGGGCGCGCCGCCCGATCCGTTGCCGACATAGAGCCCGTTCTGAAAGTCCTCTCCCTCCGGGAGGAAGACTTCATTGAGGCTGATCCCAGAGGAGTAGTCCACCAGCCCGCCGTCCACACCTCCCCCGCCCCCCCCCACACCCGCGCCCACTTTCCCACCGGCGGACCCCGCCGCGGGACCCCCCTCGCCGCTCTCGTACTCCTCCTCTTCCTCCAGGTCCCCGGCCCGGCTGAGGGCCTTGCGGCTCTCCCACTCCGACCCTGGTCCCGTGCCCCCGCCGCCGCCGCCCACGCCGCCGTCGCCGCCGGCCTCGAACCCGGGCAGGATCTGGAGCACGTGGGGCAGCAGGCTGGACAGGAAGGGCTGCAGGCCGAGCCGCACGATGAGCTGCAGGACGAAGCAGTCGGTGTACAGGTAGAACCGCCCGCGCAGGCAGCGGGGGCTGTCGTACACCCCAACCAGTGGCTTCAGCAGGTACTTGGCGGCGTTGCGGGGGCCCAGGGCCCTGGAGATGGGCTCGAACAGGTACCAGGCCGCGTAGACGGCGGTGGACTCGTCGGACATGAGCGCCAGCACGAAGGGCAGCAGGATCTCCAGACCCTCGGGGGTGATGCTGCCCTTTAAGAGGGTCTCCAGCTGATGCCACAGGTGGAAGACGATGTCCCGCTCCTGGGTGCCCTGGGGGCCCCTGGGGACCTCCGCTCCCACCCTGGCGTGGTAGGAGAAGACGAAGCGATGCAGGGCCGGGAAGTATGCTGGGAAGGGGAGCGGTGAGGTGTGAGGGCTGAGGAACTGCCGGGGGCTCGGCGGGGGCAGACCCTCACAAACGGGCGGGTACGCGAACAGGCTGATCCGCCCGCCCGCCCCCGGGCCGCCACCGCGCCCCCTCTGCAGGAGGATATCCAGGGCGTGGTGGAGGGGCAAGGGGACCTCCCGCAGGCTCGAGGAGCACAGCTTCAGGACGGCTTGGTACCGATCCTTCAGAGAAGCGCCTGGCTTCAGGCTGCGTAGTTTCGGAGCGTAAAATATCTCCGCAATCAGAACTCCCAGGGCTTGCATGTCCCTCTGGAAGAGCTCCGTAAGGGAAGCAGCAGCCCCAGAGCTCCCACCGTCTTCTTCCTCCCCTTGGGAATCTCTGCCGTCTTGGGCTTTGGCGTGGAGACCCCTCACCAGGAAGTTATTCAGCCTTTCGAGCTCCTCCAACGGCTGCAGGGAGCCGAACCCTTCCGGCAGGCTGATCTTAAAATCCTCGACACCTGCGCTCCCCCCGGCCCCGCCGCCCTCGCCCTGCCGGCGGCCCAGGCCGCTGCTCCTCTGCGCCGCGGCGCCGCGGATGCCGGAGCCTCCAGCGGCCGGAATTATGGCCGTGCCGTCGGCTGGGAAGACCAAAGACTGGGACGCCACCGAGGCTGGAGTCAGCTGCTCGACGGGTCCAGCCGCTTTCCCGCTGGCAGAGGCCGCCGGCGAGGAGAAGGCGGAGCCGGAGCCCGGGGCCACGCCCAGGGAGTCCAGAGCCTCCGTGCCTTGCTCCAGCTCCTCGTCTTTGTCCACCACAGTCCAGATGCTGGCCTCGCACCCCGTCGCCTCCAGAACCAGGCCGTCCAGGCTGTCTGTGACCTGAGGCCCAGCCGGCGCCCCAGCCTCTGAAGCAGGAGCTGCCCAAGGGGGGACAAAGATGGTGGCAGAGCCCAGGGGAGGGGGCTCCGGCGGGGAGAACACGTGGGGAGCCAGCCTGGGCGGGTGGGGCTGGTCGAACAGCTGCACCACCCCGAAGCTGGTCAGGTGGGTGTGATTGTCCACCAGATGCAGGCAGACGTTCTTGGCCTTGACGGCCTCCTTGCCGGAGAGCTTGTAGCCGAAGGTCAGGTCGATCCAGTGGTGGAGCTGCTGGGAAACCTCGCGGCTCTCCAGCAGTCGGCGGTGGATATCCACGAACTCCTCGCACGAGCCGCACCACGGCGGCACGTCCAGATCCGGCATGTCCGGGTGGATCGACTTGAAGATGGTGGGATCGGTGTAGAACTCCGGGATGCACTCGTCCGGCGTCCAGCTCTGCATGCGCTCCATGCTGGCGGGGTACTCGTTGGGCTCCCACTGGGAGCGCACGTGGCTGCACAGCACGGCCTTCGGGGTCCTCCGGGCCTTGTAGACGTAGTAGGTGATGTCGGACAACACGTCGGAAATGTGGTGCGGCACGTGGAGCTGCTCCGCCTGCGCCGGGGCGCCGGGGCACACGCCGACACCGCCCAGCCCCCCCCCGAAGCCACCCCCTCCGCCGCCGCCGGCCGCGGCCGCCGCGAAGGCCTCCTTGGTCATCTCGTAGGTGAAGTCCAGCTGCTTGTCTCCCTTGTTCAGGCGGAACTTGGAGCGCCGCAGGTCCCGGAACCTCCCAGACGGCACGGTGAAGTCCACCACCCAGGGCAGCACCGGGTGGTAATTGGGGTCCCCCTCCCGGCGGCCAGCTAGCCGGTTGAGCTCCATGAGGTACTCGAAATTGGAGACCCGGCCGTGGACCCAATCCGTCACCAGCCTCTTCAGTCTGGCGTGGCAGTCCTGGCACCGTTCCTCACCGGGAGCCCCTTTGGCACGGTTACTCCGGAGGGAGCCGTTACTGGCACAGGCCTCCTCCTCTTCTTCCTCCTCCTCCTCCTCCTGCTGCTGCTGCTGCTGCCCTTCGGCCCCCAGGCACTCATAGTGCGCCAGGCTGACTTTCAGGCGGCTGCAGAGCTGCTCGTCCACAGCCACGTCCTGCAGAGAGAGCTCTCCGCACGACAGCCCCGCGGCCTGGAAGGCCTTCATGGCTTGCAGGAGCTGGTACAGAATGAAGAGCACTTTGGCGTGGCTGTTGCCCAGCTTGGCCGGGCTGTAGGTCACTATGTCATGCAGGGAATACTGCGTGTAGGGCTGCACCACGTACAGCGCCTCGGGGGACTCCAGCAGGCATTCGGCGGGCAGCACGTTGGGGCACAGGGGGTCTCCCGACTTGGAGCTCGCGGCGGAGAGGAAGCAGGCTTCCTTCTCCCTCTCCTTGGCTGGGGAGAGAGACGGAGAGCAGCGCTCCGTGGGGACAAAGGGGCAGCCGAAAAGAGCCTGCAGGGCCTGCCGCAGGGCCTCCGGCGCCGGGACCCGGGTCTCCTCTGCGGCTCCAGCGTAGGGGCGCACATAGGCGCGGTACGCCCTGCGCCACAGGTTCCTGCGCCAGCAAGGAGAGGAAAGACAGCCCATCAGTCAAGGAACCCACTAACAGCAGAAGACCCAGCTTCCTACAGGTGATCACTCCATTTATTAGCACGTAAAATATGGTCATATCACCACACACATTACAGCTGCCGACACTGAATTCTGCATCATAAGTTTATATGGATTTAAATCACAAAATACATTTATATTAAGCAAATCGACATTCCCTCTCTTCCCCCTTTTTGTCATCATGACATATTGTGGCAGTAGCCAGCGGTGTGGAGCAGGGGTCACGGCTCCGGACTTGTGGCTGGAAAGTTGCGGGTTTGAATCCCCTGTGGGGGCACAGCTGTCGCACCCACTCAGACTGCTCCAGTAACCCGCCCTGGCAGGGGGGTCCACGCAAGTCGCTTTGGATAAAACCGAAATGAAATTAACGAAGAACACTGCGGTTGAACAGCATCTCCTCCTCGGTTCAGCGGACAGAAGTTTGCACAACCAGTGAGAAGAGTCTGCGCTGTCCCCTCTCACAGCTTGCAGAGACCGAGGGCACCGGACACGAGAGATCTGGTACCTGAAGTTGCGTCCCGCCACCTCCTGCATGAGGCTCAGGAAGGAGTCCTCGGCGCTGCCCTCTCCCGGGCCGCCCAGCTCCCTGGCCAGTGCGTAGCCCAGCCTGCTCTTCCTCATGCCCTGGATGCACACCCGGGTCCAGCCGGCGGGCAGCTTGCCGAGTGACCTCTGCAGCAGGGTGCGCACCTCCGGCTCGCTCAGCCCCTCGGGGCGCGGGCAGCGCTGCAGCCTCCTCTCCCTCAGCCCCGAGACCCACCGCGTGGGGACGTAGGCCACCAGCTCCTGCGGCCGGGGCCCCGGGGCCAGCTGCCGCCGGTCGATGCCCAGATCCCTCTCCACGGCCGCGGTCAGCCAATCCATGGCCCCTCTCTGGCAGGTCCTCCTCTGCAAGCCGAGCTCGGGCCGCCTCAGGCCTCCATGGGCGCGGGGCTGAGCCCAGGGGGGAGCCGCTGTCTGCTCTTCTGTGGGCACAAGGAAGCACCGACGTCAAGCGACTCCTCCCTTGAGAACATGCAGGACACGGGACACTTCACACAAAAACCATCGCCAGCAGCCATGTCACCCTGCCACTCGCAGCTGGCAGCCCACTGGAGCTCAGCAGGTGTGAGCCTGGTCAGTACCTGGATGGGAGACTCCTGGGAAAAACTAAGGCTGCTGCTGGAAGAGGTGTTAGTGGGGCCAGCAGGGGGCGCTCACCCTGCACCCTGTGTGGGTCCTAATGCCCCAGTATAGTGACGGGGACCCTATACTGTAAAAAGGTGCCGTCCTTCGGATGAGACATAAAACCGAGGTCCTGACTCTCTGTGGTCATTAAAAATCCCAGAGCGTTTCTCGATAAGAAAAGGTTTGTTACCTCGATGTCCAGGCCAAATTTCCTCCAGGCCTTTACCAGTCATGGCCTCCTAATAATCCCTGTCTATGAACTGGCTTCATCCCTCTGCTCTCCTCCCCACTGATAGCTGGTGGGGAGCGCTCTGGCGCACTATGGCTGCCGTCGCATCATCCAGGTGGGGCTGCACACTGGTGGTGGTGGAGGGGATCCCCATTACCTGTTAAGCGCTTTGAGTGGAGTGTCCAGAAAAGTGCTATTTAAGTGCAAGGAATTATTATTATTAAAACCTTTAATAACCCCCTGGAATGTTTTTTTCCCCACCTTGGACGGGCACGTTTTCTGCACAGCAAGAAATAACCTCCTGCGTTTGTCGTGTCGTGCAGGGAGGTGGGGCTCAGCACGATACACACCACAGCATGCCTCACAGGCCCTGGGCTTTAAAAATCTCTTGAAGGGAAAGTCAGCCGTCTGCTCAACCACCCCTGAGACTCAAGTGAATTCACTGGCCATCTTCCTGGCCAGGAGCTGACGGGCAGAGGGCTCAGGGTGAAGTCGACCTGACATGCCTTTCCCTCAGCTGACAGCAGAACAGTCTGTACACGGAGCTTGTCTAAGACGGGTGATCTCCCTAGATCCTCACTAACTTTTACAGATGCACTACAAAAAGCACACTGACAGGTTGCATCACAGTGTGGTGTGGCAACTGCAGTACTGCTGACCGCAAAGCCCTACAGCGGGTGGTGAAAACCGCCCAGTCCATCACTGGGGTTGCCCTCCCATCCATCCAGGACATTTATGACAGACGGTGCTTGAGGAAAGCTCCAAGCATCATCAAAGACCCCACACACCCCAGCTACAGACTGTATGACCCTCTACCATCTGGAAAACGGTACCGGAGCATTCGGGCCCGGACTACCAGACTCAGAGACAGTTTTTACCCCAGCACTATCAAACTATTAAACTCCCAGCCTCTCTCACCCACGATCTGAACCCTCACAGTGCCTTCTCTCTTTATCAAAACTCAAAAACACATTGAAATCTACCTCTGCCTCACACGACAAGAAGTTCACTCCCCATAATTTCTATCCTTTATTTCATTCTGTTGCTGTATGATTTTGCACAACGGATGTTGTTTTGCACAGTCCCTGTTGTTGTGGTGCACATTGCCTGTTGTCTCTGTCTTTCTTTTCTTATACAATTATACAATTTCTTACACAATTGTGTTGTTTTTTTTTGTAATGCTGAGAGTTGTAATCTGAGAGCTAGCTAAATAGCATTTCGTTATACCATATACCTCCGTATGAGTATAATGGCAACAAACTTGAACTTGAGGTCGGCAGTATTCCCCTCCACCTGCTGGCAAGGGAATAAACTCCTACACGATGCCAGAGCAGCATTAAGCTCCCAACCACAGCAATGACTACAGTACCAGGATTCAGACCCAGTAGAACCCACAGAGCTCGCTCCCATTATGACCGGTGGGTAATTAAGACATGACTGGCTCTCTAATTCTGTGATCACCCTAAAACACATATTCATTACATGTTGTACAGTCAAATTTAGTTTTATTGCATGGCAATGCAGCAAAAGCCAGCAGAGAAGAGACTCAGATCCATTACCGAGAGGGACACTGGGGACGTTTCTAAAAATGCGAATCTGATTCGAGCTCACCCGTCTTCTTTAACGGCCAGGACGTCTCACCTGCTCCAGATGCAAGTAGAAATACAAGCAGCTGGACAATCAAGTGCACTAGCACACTGTATGAGGTCACTGCAACTCAGTGGATATAAACGGGCCTTTTATTTTCGGCACCAGAGGAAAAATGCACGTAGCAGTGAGCAAACGGGAATTCCCGAGCTCTGAGTCTGAAACCAGAAGAGTCGAACCAGTTCCAGGACCAGTTCCCTGCGCCGGTGATAGGGACCGACGCCAGTGGGCTTCACAGATAAAGTTACGCCTTCACGGCTAAGGTGTGCAAACGTCAAATCTCCGTCTTGTCTTCCTTAAAAAGTGCCCCCCTCCTCCTAGTCGGCACGTTAGTGTGAGGCTTCACGGTTTCTCATCCGCCGCCTGTGTTGCGGAAGAAACTTACCAGTCTCGGGCTTCTGCGCCGTTCATTCCGTTTCCGCGGGATTCAGGGTTGAAGCTTCTCCGCCGCCTTCTCCACCGGCTCCTGGACGGGCTCAACTAGCCGTTCCCCTCATGACGGAACCAGCGGGGCTCCGGGCAGGAGTCATGCCCCGCTCATGTGATGATGATGATGATGATGATGATTAATTCTGAGCAGTTCGGAAATCTGACCCGACTGGCGAAGCGAACAGGCGGCGCACAGTGCGATACCGGGAAAAAAAGTGTCTCGCTGTGGTCGCAAGAGAAACAAAAAAAAAATGTACGCAGACTACAAAACATGAACTAATGACTTAAGTGTCCAGATCTGTTCTTGGCGCGTTTCCATCAACGGATAAGTAGCGACACGGACGGTGCGATCGCGTGATTTCATTCTCCGGCTTGTATCATCACTCTTGAAAAACTACAGATAATTATTGATATACCCGGGCTTGTCAAAACAAGGAAGTTGCAGGGTGATGACAAAACGCGTCGACTCGGACAGGAACCGAAAACAAAAATGATTTCAAGGCAAAACGAAGAAACTTCCTCAGCCGCACAGACGACTGCTCGCTGGTTGAGTCAGCTTTATTTCTCTTTTCAGAAACCGGCCCCTCAGCCCCTTTGCTGCCCAGCGCCGGGCAAGAGCGTCTTCTCAACAGTGTACTGCCGGTCTGTCCTCCCCGGACCCGTGTTATCTTGCGCCGGGGGGAAAAGCGTGTGTGTTTTCGCTGCACAGGCTGCTATGTCCCTCTGTTGAGAGCGGCCATGTTGGAGCCGCCGAAGGGTTCACGTGACCTGCATCCCGCCCTCCTCGAGACCTCACGTGACGCCCGCCGCGCTCTCGCGCTCCGCCTCCTGCCCGCGGCGAGGCGCTGCAGGCGAAGTGAGCGGAGCGGCCGTGGCGTCTCCATCAGTCAACTCAAGCCGAATTGCGATAGGATGCCAGAACTCCCTCACGTTTCCCAATTCACTGTGAACTGACTGTTATACAGTTGCTTTAGCTAGAAGGAAAGTGGAGATGTGTTAAATAATAATGCTAGAGGCAGGCAGATAAGATTTTAGATCGTGCGTTGTCGTTTTTTTCGTACGAGGGTTTGATCATCTAGGTGTCTACAAGCAGAGAGCGTGACAAATGGAGGATAAAAGCGGGATTAGCTCGTTTCCTGTGTGGGTGCGGGACTTGAACAGCAGCTCCTGTGTTGATACCGCAGACTATCGCCGACCCGCAGCCCCGCAGGGGACACCAGCGCGGCGCCAGTGGTGTGTGTGTGTGTGTGGTGGTGGGGTGGGGGGGTTACACCTACACCTGTGTTAAACCGCGCTCCCGCCCCGCACGGGCCCGAGGCTGAGGTCGGCGCGTAACCCCAGCCGCGCGCGCGCGCGCGAGGGGGCCCCGCGTGAGGAACCCCCCGCTTCATTGCCATGGGCAACACGTCCGCGGGCCCAGCGGGCCGCCATTGTCCCCGCCGACAGCAGAATAGCGGAGCCGGGCACGCCTGGGGGAGGAGGAGGGGGGGGTCCGACTGTCCTCTTGGCAGCGAGTGAGAAAGGGGCCCTTGTTCGGCCGAGGGGTGAATGAAGTGCCCCCTGTTTCCCTGCCCCCCCTCCGCTGTCATCCCTCTCCCGGTCCTCTCTGTCCCTCAGGACACTTCAAACTGAGGTGAGTGTCTGACGTCTCTTTCTGCTCCTTCTCCATGGTACCTCACCGTCTCAGTACTTAGGGAAGTTTCTAACAAAACTAAGCTTTAAAAAACGTAGTTGTCTGAACCTTTCCAGCTCATGTCTTCCTGGCGGTGTAGGAGTCGGTGAGATACTGCGGGCCGTGCCCTGTAGTCCGTACCCGGGATCCGACGAGGACGCACCTCTGGTGCTCGGGGCTCAAGTCGTGTTCCGATTTTGTTTTTTGAGGGACTGACTCGTCTTCAGTTAAAACATTCTGTCTTTATCGTGGCACGGTGCAGGTGGGTCCAAGGTCTCGCCGCGAGTGGGGCGTCAAGCGCGCCCGTGTCCAGGACACGCGTTCACGCCCGAGTGGGAGAGGGTTTCCGTCCGATTCGCGGCGCTCCCGGACAGCGCTGGGATCTGACCTGCGTGACGTGTGCTGCGCCGGAATGTCACACTACCTGCCCTCCTATAATTCCCCTGTCATCTGGGAATGTGTCCCCCTGAACTGCGGCCTGTGCCAGATCTTCCCCGCAGGAAAAACGATCCGGTGTCTGAAACCTGATGGTTCTCCGCAAAACAAGCCTTCCATTGAGGCGGGGGTTTCGGATCGTCAGTCACGAACAGGACCCGCATTGTTCATCTTTACTAAAGGCCATTATGCGCAGACCTGTGTTTCTTACCTCTGCAGCGCTTTCCTGGGCTTCTAAAGGACGGAAACTCGACTGAATTCCGAAAGTACAGAGAAATTTAGTTCTATATTATTCTGCAGGGGATAAAGCTTTTAGAAGACGGATTCAACTGCAGTGTTTGTAAATGTGTTATGTCCTCGTGGACCAAGCATCACATTTAAATAAGGAAAGAATGTGATTCCGTATCAATGCCGTCCAGACTTGATAGATGTATCTAGCAATAACCAGGGGAAAACGGTGTGAAATGCTAGTCACAGGAAAAACAATTCACGGAAACTATTTTGTAAGTGGGCGAGGTGCTTTCAAACAACTACATTTTGAAAAGGGAGAAAGGAGGTGAACTGGTTTAAGACGATCGGCGCCTCTACCCTGTCAGTAAATATTTTTCACGTTAAACTTGAGTTTTAAAGTGTGTGACTGTAAGGCTGACTACCGCCACACGGTGGCACTGTAACATTCTGACAGCAACACCAAATGCCGAGTCTGTGCTGAGAGCGGACACGCATGGGTATACCCATATACCCGTAACATTGGTACGACTGCTAACATTTATCTTTTAAACTTTCTTTTCTAGCTCACAGCCATGGAAGAAGATTTGGATCGCTATGACCACGTACTCATAGCATGCACAGTAAGCCCTCTTTTTTAAAAAAATTAATTGCTCACTGTGTTTAAAACATTTCATTTCAACCAAACCAATATATAAAAAAGAAAGCTTTTATCATGGGAGAAGACTGTAAGCATTATGAGAACGGCCAGCCACCAAACACTTAGCCCAAGAGAGAGCCCTGTGACTTCACCTGTGCTCTGGGTGTGCCAGTGTTTATGGTTCAGTCAGGACTGACCAGGCTTGTTGCAGTGAACCACAGTGTTTTCCAGGGTGGGAGACTGGCAAGCCCTTACCTGTCCCAGCATTCTCCTGGCCATCTCCAGCTCCCCTGTGTGCTATGCTGTGTGATTGGACTGTGACGTACAGAGTGATGCATGGTCTTACAATTTGTAATATGTTATGCGGAGTCTCGGCTTGTTTTTTGTTTAATCGTTTTGTTTTTGCTGGTCAGTACTCAGTACACTCACAAAAATATTTATCCAGGATATTTCCTGCCTCGTGCCCTTTGCCTGTTGGGATAGGCTCTGGCTGCCCCGCAGCTCTGTATTGGATAAAAGCAATTAGAAAACCAGCACATAGAGCAATTAGTATCCAGTATATGATGGATGGACATGTGTTGCTTGGAATATTATGTTATTTTTTAACACATACTTCATATGATCGCCATGTTAGAATTATACATTCATTACTTTAAACATATGCGCATTAAATCGGTTTAACAATGAGATTCAAAAGCCTTGACTAAGCACAAAATGTTTTTTTGATTGGAGTCCAGGCACTGTGTAGTGACACAAACCTCTCACACGCAAAAGAAGAAGAAATTCTTTGACAAGGCATGAATGTGGAAACTCCACAATTGGCAGTAGACCATGGAAAATACTAAAACCTGCCAATTCGGGGCATACAAATTAAAAGTTGTTATTGTCCAGCTCTCGGTGCTAAGGAGGAACATGATGATTAAAGTGATCGCCTCAATAAAGATACATATCGTCTTCTCTCTTTGAACCAAATTCTTTGAGAGTTTTGTTTGCCTTGCAGTTAGGAGTTGTAATTTAAAAGACCAAAAAACTGCAAGCATTTTTTGGCTCCCAAGTCCCTACCCACTAAATTTAAAATTGTGAGTGAACTATGAACAAACTAAGGGGAAACTACTGTAGAACGATGCCTAGTTCTTGAAGAACTGTGGTTAGTAGTACAGGGCTCATTTACAGTAATGCATGTGATAACCCGTTCTGGGTGTATAAAGCATTTAGCTGCACATATGAGGTGCGAGTATGTGTTTAGCCTCTTTTTCTTGTGCGATGAAACCTGACGAGTTTCGATTGAGTCAGAGCAGTGGCTCCTGCTGGCTGGAGCAAAGTGAGTTGCTCAATTTAAAGTTTGGGTGATCAGGCAGCCACTTGGGTTCAAGCAGGAGTCCCGCTCCAGGCATTCGTTAATGATCGAAAATTAATATCAATCATGTTGTTGCTAGAATGATACCTTCCCAGTCCGGAGTGAACTGGCCAAGGTGTGATGACTTGGGCCGGTTTTCGCTTCACTTCAAACAGGAGTAGTTTGCAGCACGAAGTGAGGATCAGCTAGAGAAAATGGTGTTTCACCTTACTGTAATGGCGCTGCCTGTTAACATCTAGCCGAGCTCTTTTGCTACAACAGGAGCTAGCATTAAGACTGGCACAGGAGCCACAGCATGTCACATATTAACAGCCTGATCAGTAGGAAGATACTAACCGTGCTGGAGCTATCTGGGCAAGTGGTTTTGGAACACGAGCAGTTTTCCTGGCCAGCAGCCATATCACCCTGCAACTCACAACTGGCGACCCACTGAAGCTCAGCAGGTGTGAGCCTGGTCAGTACCTGGATGGGAGACCTCCTGGGAAAAACTAAGGTTGCTGCTGGAAGAGGTATTGGTGGGGCCAGCAGGGGGTGCTCACCCTGCAGTCCATGTGGGTCCTAATGCCCCAGTATAGTGACGGAGACACTATACTGTAAACAGGCGCCGTCCTTCGGATGAGACGTAAAACCGAGGTCCTGACTCTCTGTGGTCATTAAAAATCCCAGGGCGTTTCTTGAAAAGAGTAGGGGTGTAACTCTGGTGTCCTGGCCCACATTTCCTTTACCTTTACCAATCATGGCCTCCTAATAATCCCCATCTCTGAACTGGCTTCATCACTCTGCTCTCCTCCCCACTGAGAGCTGGGGTGTGGGGAGAGTACTGGTGCTGCACACTGGTGGGGGTGGAGGGGATCCCCATTACCTGTAAAGCGCTTTGAGTGGAGTGTCCAGAAAAAGTGCTATATAAGTGTAAGCAATTATTATTATTATTATTATTATTATTTCCTGATAGGCATTGTCAAAATTGTCAAAAAATGGTTTATAACCCACTGGAGGTTAAAAAAAAAATGAATGTAGCAAGTTTCCAGGAGCAGAACGCTGAACAGAGTTGTGGTTTTGGTGGAGGCAGGAGGCTGCTGGGTTTCCTCTTCAGTGGGTGAGCTGAGTGGGTGAAAGGGTTTTTCAACTGCTGGGTTCAGGCCGGATCATGGCTGAGGCTGGGTAGGACGTTCTGTCACAACTTCAATGGCTTGTCTGTCCCAGTAGGCTCCTCCAGTCTCTCATCTGTCCCAGTAGGCTCCACCAGTCTCTCATCAGTCCCAGTAGGCTCCCCCAGTCTCTCGTCTGTCCCAGTAGCCTCCCCCAGTCTCTCTTCTGTCCCAGTAGCCTCCCCCAATCTCTCGTCTGTCCCAGTAGCCTCCCCCAGTCTCTCTTCTGTCCCAGTAGCCTCCCCCAATCTCCCATCTGTCCCAGTAGCCTCCCCCAATCTCTCTTCTGTCCCAGTAACCTCCCCCAGTCTCTCATCTGTCCCAGTAGCCTCCCCCAGTCTCTCATCTGTCCCAGTAGCTTCCCCCAGTCTCTCTTCTGTCCCAGTAGCCTCCCCCAGTCTCTGAATACCACCAGGTTCAAAAGTGAAAAGAAAAAAATCTTTACAATAGTAACGGGCTTTCCCTGCCCGGCAGACTAAAAATAAAACTTCTTACAACTGCAGCAGGCTTCCTCTCGCTGCCTGGAAGTCTGGTGAGGACCGGGTCCCCTGGGGGCCTGCGGGCACAGCTGTGCGCGTGACGCAGAGACGGGTTCGAGCAGAGGCTCAGACCCACGACGCTTCGCCTCCCGTCTCTTTTCAGCGTGGAGTTAGCCTTTGCTTTATTCGTATAAGACGATATATCTAAATTGCTTATGTACAGTGCTCACATATGATTTCTATGTTATATCTTTATTTCTTATACCCTGCGATGTAGAGGAATGTGTCGTGTTCGTACTGTATAGAATAGGATACTGTATGTGGAGAGGGAGAGCAGGTCATACCACTCGGTCGGCACTCGAAGCCACACTGTGCTGCATTTCCATCAAGTAAAGGTGCAGGACCTCGGGGAAGAGCGACTCGCCTCCAGCCGGCGTGTCGGTGATCAGCCTCAGACTCCCCCTCCCGCCTCCTTAATGACAGCCTGCGGCCGCGGGCAGCGCGGCTCCTGGTCAGCGATATTCGAAGCCGGGGGGGGTGTGTGTGTGTGTGTGATGCGTCGCGAACGGTTAATATTTAAGTGCCGGGCGAAGGAGCCGGCTCAGTGCAGCGCCGCCAGTGTCCTCAGCGCCTGCAGCGATCCCTGTCCCGCGTCGCTCTCTCCCCGAGCAGAAGATGGCCCCGTCGGTGAAGTACCTGTGGAAACTCAAGCAGACCTTCGTGCTCTTCCTCACGCCCTTCCTCCTCCTGCCTCTGCCTCTGCTCGTCCAGACCAAGGTAGGTCGCGCCGCCTGCGCTCTCGGAAAACCAGAGGAGCTGGGTTTTTCACCCCTCTCCGTCTGTATTATTTTCTGGGTGAAACAGAAAACGCGCAACAATCAACGTCTGTGTTAGTCTTCCACAGGCGCAGTTATCTCCCTCCACATCAGTGAATATTTTATGCGCTCCTAATAGGATAAGCGTTTTTTTTTTCCTTCCGTGCTGAACTTTGGAATCGGCTGAAGATTTGTTACCAAGGAACTTTTAATAAATACTTCAAATTCAGTTTTTTTGCTTTTGAAGGAAAATGTTTACCCGAAAGCGCTACAATATGTTATATTAATAGTATATAAACATGTAAAGAATACATAAACAGCAATCTAAATAATATATAAACCTCTAATATTATATATTCGATATTTTATTGTAGTTTTTACAGCGGTTTTATCTTGCACTATTACTATTATTAGGTTGTTCTATAAGACAGTCAAGGTTACTGGGTTTATCGCTACTGGTCTGATCCCTAGAACTCGCCGTCTGAACAGGGAATATACGGTGGGAATTGCAGCGATCGCTGCTCTTTGATTTTGAGATGAAGTTTAGTGCTGATATGAGCCGGGTGATAGTTTAGGACGAGAATGCAGGGGGACAGATCCAAGCTCAAGTTCAAGGAGGACAAAGCCTTTTCATCCCGTGTTGTTTTAACTCTTTCATGTGCAGTGGCCCACGGGAGCCCCGTGATAACCGGGCTCCTCTGTCGCCGTGCAAGCGTGAAACATGCATTTTGCGGCTGACCTCTGCCAACCCCTCCCGAACTTTTCATAACACAGAACCCCCCCCCCATCATAAAGACCAGGCTCTTTCTATCAAGAATCGTTCACTCGTGCACGAGTGAGCAAGGAAATATTTCCACCTCGCACGTTTTTCTTCCCAGATAGAGTAGAAGGGGACTGGTGAAACAGTTCATGTGCACAGACGTGCCAAATCCTGCATTCCCTCACATTGCAAGGTTAGCAGACCCCTTCCTCTAAAGGCTTCTTCCTTTATCCCTGCTGCACAGTGTCCTCTTATCCTTAACGATGGTAATACTGATAATCCTAATTATTTTGTGCAACATCCTTGATTCTATAAAAACCCCCTAACACTTGGGTCACTGCACTTCAGACTTTGAACCCAGGGGAAGTGTTGTACCGAGACTTTAAAAAACAAAATTCCAAATGAAAAACATGGGCTCATTCGGGTCACCCCGTGACCCGTCCACCTTGGAGCAAGACTGTTCAGATCGAGCCCCATGCTCTTCCGTGCTGTCCCTGTGACGCGCTGAAGGACTTGGAGTCCGAATTGCTCTTTACTGCAGCGGTGTGAGCGCTGATATAACCTGCACACAGGGCACTGCAGGGCTCCTGCGTTTGCATGCGAGCTGTTACCTATTGCTGAACAATCACATTTTTGTCGGGATTTAGAAAGTTTCCAGTGTTTTGTGTTTTTTACAAGGCTGTGGTAACTGGATAACAGAAGTGCACTTTCTACCTTTTAAACGTTAACAGCCCTCGGATTTAAAATTGCTTCTGAGTCAAAGTGCACTAGTTTTGTGGTTTGTAGTGCAAACTGTATATATTTATAAATCCAGATAACAGGACTTTTGAAACCAAGTCGAACGTGGCTAGTATTTGGGGAAGAGGTGTTCCATTAGGAAATCAAAGTGATGTTGAAGGCTTTCCTGGAATTCAGTTTCCTCTGCATTAGAGTGGCCGTGGGCGCAGAGATATTGGATTTCATGCCCACGGTCATCCAAGGTGAAAAGCAGGTCCTGAATCAATGTGTGCCATTGCTCCATCGACACGCGTTTTACAAGAAGGGGCCCAGGTCTGGACAAAGACACAGTGTGATTCAGCTAAACTGAGTAAAAGAGGCTACGTCAAAGCAGGGCCACAGGCTGACCCGTAAAAAGTCAGCAAAGTGCAGACTTGCTTAGATGAGACTTTGGAGCTTAGTAGCAAACATTGTAGTTGGCACTAATGTGACGCAGTCATCTGAATGCTAACGATCCTTGCTTGAGTTACACTGGTTGTAGTGACCTAAGAGCAGGGCATCAGCAGCAGCAATAGAAAATCCTGTATAAAAACAAATTAAATAATGCAGTCACCTACTGACAGGAGGCTTACCTCTCTAAATTATATCTCAAGAGGCTGAGCTGAAGAGGTATTTATCTCTGAACCTGATGTTTTAGAAAACATTCATTTGGATCCCGTATCTCTTACAGGCGTGTCATTTTTCTCCTTTATTTTTTCATCTTATACTTTTCCACGAAAAGGTGGCAGATGCAGGTTAGCAACTTTCACTGCGGCCACAAGTGCGTACAAGCACCGTGCACCACTTCGTGCTGCGCGTGCAGAAGACTGCTCCACTTAGCACAGGCACACTGGAGCAAGTACTTCTTCATTGGGTTCAGTCACTCCGTTGTGTTTTGAGTGTGGTTGTTTAAAACAAGGATAATAATGTTTAAGTGATGTGCTCTTGCATTGACGTGACTGTGCATTGTGCTGATGGCCTGTTGTTCACACTTTGCCCTGCAGGAGGCGGGCTGCGCCTATGTGATCATCCTGATGGCCGTGTATTGGTGTACAGAAGCCATGCCCCTGGCCGTGACCGCCCTGTTGCCTGCTCTGCTCTTCCCCATGTTCGGCATCCTGGAATCCAAGAAGGTGCCAGTCTTATGCCAACTGTAGTAAAACAGTAGTCTTTGCATTTCATTACAGGTCCTCAGGGACTGGGTAAATTGCTTTCAATCATTTTTGAAACCCTCCTTGCTTATCTAGTTCAAACAAATAAGCCAAATAAGGTTGCTTGTGATTAAAAATGATGTAGTCATCGGGTAAAAAATATGTTTTCTAAATGGAGTCCTGTTTTTCTGCGGCTGTTTAATTCCTTGTGTGTGATGTGTGTTTGTACAGCTTATGTACTGTAGATGTATGTGTCTGAAAGAGTTCTCCCTGTGCTGTCTCTCTCTGGGCAGGTGTGCATGCAGTATCTGAAAGACACCAACATGCTGTTCGTCGGGGGTCTGATGGTGGCCGTGGCTGTGGAGCACTGGAACCTGCACAAGCGCATTGCCCTGAGGGTGCTGCTCATCGTCGGGGTCCGGCCAGCACTGTGAGCAAGACCTGTTCCTACTCCCAGTGCATGAGAGGACAGGGCAGCCATGCTGTTCTGTTACACACCTCCTGTTGCACATTTCCAGTTCCCACAGAAAATTAAGCTGAAATGACCAAATCAAGCTCAAAGAGAGAAAAAAATATGTTGACCGAGGTCGCCCCTCTGTCCTGCTGAGAGGCTAAATGGAGATGTGGTGCAGATCAGTCATGTAATCAGGAAAGCTATTCATCTAATCAGTAAATCAGGACTGTGCCTTTCCTGTCCAAGCAAAACAGCAGCTTCCTAATGTTATTCTCTGTATTGTGGTTGAATGAATGCTTGTAGATGTGCTGTGGCCATGTTCTTAACTAGGACAGCGATCCAGCTTCTGTCGGATCTTCGCTCATCTCAGACGACCTGTGGGGTTTTGCCGTTGTCAGGCTGATGCTGGGCTTCATGGGGGTGACAGCCTTCCTGTCCATGTGGATCAGCAACACGGCCACCACGGCCATGATGGTGCCCATCGTGCAGGCCGTGCTGGAGCAGCTCAGCAGCAGCGAGGCCGAGATGCCGGAGATCCGGAGCAGGGATGAAGGGGAGCCCGAGGAGAAACAGCAGAGCAACACGAAGGATGGCCATGGTGTGCATGGGACTGGGCAGGGGGGGATAAGGATACAGTCCTGCTTAGCTTATATAAATGTATAGATCAAGAAGTAATTGTAGGTGGTTAATCTACTTTCAGCATGTTTTTCTTTTCCTGCCCTTTCCTCAATACCAGAATGTGCAGGTCCATAATTATGCAGTGCTTTACTATATGGGACGTTGCAATTTTACATTTCATAAAGTATTTTAAGAATTTGTACAGAATTTAAAACAGAACAAGATAATTTTGAAGATTGCTTTGTGCTTTAAATCTGGTCGTTAAATTGCCATGTCTTTGCTCGGTCTGTCCATTGAAGAGTTTATTTTAAGCTCTGGACCCGTAGCGGGACTCTAACCCCACACTTACGCCTGTGACAGCGTGCTCACCCCACCCTCTGCCCCTGTGCTCTCTCCCGCTGTCGCAGTGGTGGTGAATGGGCTGGGGCTGGCGGAGCCCGCTCGCCGTGAAGAGGCGTCCGAGAAGAGGAGGATGGGTAAAGGGATGACTCTGTGTGTGTGCTACGCTGCCAGCATCGGGGGCACCGCCACCCTCACCGGCACGGGCCCCAACCTCGTCCTCAAGGGCCAGATGAACCAGTGAGTGCCCCCCCTCCCCTTCTCCGGGGAGACCGTTTTCTGTCATCAGCGCTCGGTGGCTCGTCGGGAGCTGTCCTGGGTCGCTCGCTGTCTGTTCTTCCTGTTCCTCCTCTCTTTTCTTATCTCCCCTAAACTGCTCACTGCTTTTTGTAATAAAACAACATTTTCACAAGTGCTTCAGCACTTTAATCCGAATAGGATAAAGGCAAAGCTCACTCTGCTATTAGCAATTTCAGTCGGTTCATTTCAGCTGCAAATTTCCTTGTTGGGCTTGAGTGCGAGAGACACC